GCAAACGTCGTGCAGTTTCTCAGACTGCCTGTTCTGGCGTCTGGCGGCCTGGCCGTTGTCGCCAGCGGCATGCTCTACTTCAAGCAAAAGTACGCCCCCCTCTACATACATACATACACACCCCCAAATCCCTACTTGCTCTGCAGCAGCTAAACATGCCAAAGTGACCTGATCTATCCCCGCAACATACCCGCCGATGCACGAACAAACGTCCCTAAACCATCAGACTTCGGCATGACCAACTTCGAAGACCTGCGCATCCCCACCCCGGACGGCGAGGTGCTGGCAGCCTACTTCATCCGTCCCTCCAACAGGAAAATCAAGGCCCAGGTCACCATTCTCATGTTCCACGGCAATGCGGGGAACATCGGCCACCGCGCTCCCATAGCCCATATGCTCGAGCAGCAGCTAGACTGCAACGTCTTCATGCTCGAGTACAGAGGCTACGGCCTCTCCACGGGCACCCCCGACGAAGCTGGCCTCAAGATAGACGCCCAGACTGCGCTCGACTATATTCGGAACCGGGCTGAGTTGCAGGGCACCAAGATTGTTATCCATGGGCAGAGCCTGGGTGGTGCCGTGGCTATTGATTTGGTTGCAAAGAACCAGAAAGAGGGGGACATCAAGGCGTTGATCCTGGAGAATACCTTTCTTAGCATTCGCAAGCTGATACCCAGGTGCGTAATACACTGATTCGATTCTGCAGGTCATCACCTCCTTATACTGACGAGTGGATCAGTGTCTTCCCGGCTGCAAAGTACGTTGCTAGACTGTGTCATCAGACCTGGCTGAATGAAGAGGTGTTGCCCAAAATCACCACTGTACCAATACTATTCCTCAGCGGCCTGAAAGACGAGATAATTCCGTGAGTTTATTAATCCCTGCCTTTATACCACATACCACTACCGTCGTCATCTTGTCTAACATCCTCCCCCTAGACCCGATCACATGCTACAACTGTTCAGCATGTCCAAAGGAACGGAATGCATCTGGCGCACCTTTCCTAACGGCCAGCATAACGACACTGTTGCCGAGCCCATGTATTTCGAGTACATACATGCCTTCATCGTTGACGAAGTCCTGGACTAATGTAATCATCCACGGCTCCCCATAAATACCACACTAACGCACACACACACGCACGCATAATCATCTCCCGGCGTCACCGGTTTGCTTTTCCTTTGTCCCATGTTTCGTTTTCGTTTCCGTTGGCTTTTTGCATGGTTACCCAGATCGAGGGGGGGGGTTCGTTGTTTCGGTGCACTTTGGCTTGATTCCTCGTTTGATTGATTGATTGTTTTTTTTGGCTTCTGGTTTTTATTTTTTGGCTTCCGGACCTTCTTTCGTTTATTTCTTTTGTTTTTGGCTCTTTTTTGCTACCTCTGGGTTCCATGTTCGCATACCATTGACACGATACCCGGGTTTTATACAGCCCATTTTGCATGGGTGGCTTGCGGCTTAATGCTGCCCACTCCTACTTTCACCCTCTTGTCCATGATCACATTACACAGCGTAGAGGAAGAACATACATCTTCATTCTAATAATAGGCAACATAAGACCAGTCTTTCTATATCTTAGTATCAATATTGTACATGCCGTGTACTCCCACACAGCCGATAAAACACGTTGGACAAAACCGCTTACACCCTCTGCACCTCATCAATAAGTTCCTGCACCTTAAACCCCTCTGTGTCACCGCTCGTGAACATCCTCAACATCTCCCCCTTTCGACCCCCCTGGCTCCCAGCCCCCTCGGCCTCCCAGTCGTAAAACTTCTGCAACCACAGCACTAGCAGCTGTGCATCGTCAACCGTCATACCCCTATCCGTCACCACGGTGCCATTCATCAATACAATCCCCTTATCATCCGCAAAGTCCAGATGGTGCGTAATCACCGTGTGCGGCGGCGCAAAGCCTGCGTGCAATTTATATTCCGCCAAGGAAGTAAATATCACTGTTGAAGTATGCGTGTTATGCGTGCTAACTGGCGAAGGAACCTTCGAATCACTCGCCGACGCAGGCGGATGGAACCCCCATTGAAGGAAATGCATTTCAGCACCCATTGCTTTCTCAGTTGGTGTTTCCGAGCTTGACTCGGCGCTTTCCTTGGGGTCTTGGGGCGTTTCTAACTCCCGCGGCAAAGGTAGGATGAACTGCGGGTGTTGTCGAGCTACTTTCACCATGCGGTTGTATGTTTCTATCGGGATGCTGGCGCATATCGAGTTGGGGTTCGTGACGTGTCGTGCTCGCCATAGCTTGCCGATGATGTCGGGCGGTAAGGCGGCGGTTTTCTCGAGATCAAGGTATGATGATAGCGGCTTTATACCAGGTGGTGATGAGTTTTTCTTGGTTGAGGGTGTGGAAGTCTTCTTCTCCAGGCCAGCTGGTTCAGATGATGGTGATGAGGATGGCTTTAGGGGTGTCTGGGGTGCTGCGTCGGCATTGCGGACTTGCTGGATCTTCTCTTTGTATGCTTCCTTGAGCGAGGATACGGAATCGTGGCCCTCCCTGGTAGAGTATCCCGTTAGTAAATTAGAAGTAGAAGACAATGGATTCTCATGCTCACTCTTTGGCCTTGCGGGCTAGCTTCTCTTTGTACTTATCAAGCACCTGTGAGGACTGATGGGTTGCGACGAAGCGGATATCGTGGACCTGGGCCCATCGGCGCTGCACATGTCTGGCGGGCAGAACAGGCCGGCTGAGGAGGTTTCTGAGTGCTGGTATCCGAATTGAAGCCATCCTGTGCGTCCTTTTAGCTCGCTTGTAGCTTGTTCGCTTTTATATTCGTTGCTTGTCTTTGCTTTCGTCAAGTTTTGAATAAACACTTTTTTTAAGCTCGCCCATGCCAAGACATCGCGATAACTTTCTATCAACGACGAAGATTTTATTCCATCAACTCTTTATATTTATTACTATTTTGATTCCTGCTTGAGCTGAAAAGGATAAAATAGTTATTGGATTCCGTTGTGGAGGCTATTATACTATTGAATCTATACAAGGGCAAGGCCAATGGCTAAGAAAGAATAAGAAGAGAGCAGCTGCTAGTTACTTCGCCAGCTCATGCAACACCGTAGTCCGATACTCACTCCAGACCCTGAAGCCAGCACGCTCGTACCAGTTGACGTGGTTCGACCAGTCAACGAATACATGCTCCATCCCTCGTGTTTTCAGATCGAGGGCAGCATGGGTGATCAGGGCGAGACCGACTCCCTTGTTTCTTGCCTCTGGAACAACTCCTACACAGCCAATTTGACCAGACTTGATACCCACCAGCGGCTGCATGGCGAGCTCCCGTGTCATTCCGATGCCCAGTTCCTGCATCAGAGTCCATCCGATCTGCTCGCCTGTCGACGAGTCCGTTGCTACCATTACCTGCTTGTACTGGCCTGTTTGTGCTAGCCCTTCATAGGCGTCCATCCACACGGGGTCTTTGCCAAAGAGCTTGCGCTGTTTCTCCATACATTCCTCGTATTGTTCCTTTCTCCAGGGAGCATATGTGACTCCTGCCTTTTCTGCGCGCTCTAAGACGCCCTTTGGTGCTTCATATGAGAGTAGGTCGGCAGTGTAGTCCCTTGCCGATGGCCTACGCTCAGGACAGAACCCACGATGGATAAAGAACTCTTGGGCTTGTTTTGAAATATCCATTGGGACTCCCGGCCGGAACCGAGGGAAGCTTGAACCGATTGTAACTGATGACGTAGAATATCCGTTTCGAAGGTATATTCGGGCGTGCTCAATCAGTGCGGTTCCCACGCCCTTGCCCTGGTGGCCGGAGTCCACAAGGACCACGGGGATGAATGCTGAAGGCCGGTCTTCATTTGTATATGTGGCCAAAAATCCTACTACTTTATCTCCAGCACGTGAAACAAAGTGGTTTCCATTCGGCCTGCTTAGAACGTGGGAAAGTGTCGCCGATGGTACGGCATATCTTGGTAAAAGCCGATGCCAAAGTTCGACGACTTTAGCAAGATCCCTGTCTGCATTGAAAGGCTCAATCGGTATCTGGCAAGGTTTAACCGACACTGGAAGTTTTCCTTTGGCGTTGATGTCTCCAAATATTATTCTAACAGCAGGTATAAAGGCTTCAACAGTTGGCTCGTATATGGTGAGGTAAGTTTTGACAAAATCCTCATCCTGTAGGAAGTCGTACGGACCTCCAATAGCCACTACAATGAGCTTCTTGGACAACCCCTCAATCAGCTTCGTCAGTTCTACCTGGTCTACGGACATTTTTGCATCTTTGGTTACCAGTATAACTGCATCAGCTTCCGATATCTTTGCCTTGGTCATTTCGTCATCTTCAAGTATGATGTCCTGGAGAACTGGGCATTCAATTGTATTTGAATGGTACTGCTTGATCACGTCCCAGAATTTTGACTGGGTGTGTGGAAGAGTATGGGGGACCGCAGTGTTTTCTCCGACTAGAGAAATTTATGCATATACCACGTTCTCAGCCGGCCTGAGAGGAATGACATTCTGTGTATCTCTCACCAACGTTGTACTTCGAACATAAACTCTCGTTGCAACTCTTTCATGTGCCAGACGAAGTTCTGCAAGCAGCTCGGGTTTCCGTTCCCTGAAGACTGACTCCCAGCTGATAAACTTGTCTTTCAATGCTGTGACTCTTGCGACTGATTTGGCAACACCCTCAGAGGTGATATCTCCCTGCTTGAAAGCTTGATAGACTTCGTTGTACGCACCAACTTGAACTTTCAGTGTATGACACACCATAGCACAATCTACGCCAGCGGCAATTGCCATAGCAGCGCCCTTTTCAGTGCCATAGTACTCACGAATAGCATCCATCTCGAGGCAGTCAGACACCAACAGTCCATCATACTGGAGCCTTTCCCGCAGGAAGTCCACGCAGCTTTTGCTGAGAGTCATGGGTAGATTTGACTCCTCAAGTGCCGGTAGAACAATATGGGACGTCATGACGGACTCGATATTCTGCGCAGTCACTCTCCGGAACGGAATCAGTTCACATGCTTCCAGTTCCTCGATGGATTTGTCCACGATGGGAAGGCCATAATGGGAATCGACCGTCGTATCTCCATGGCCTGGGAAATGCTTTGCACATGGAACAATCTTCTTCTCACGCAAGCCTCTGGCAAAAGCCGAAGCTATTCGTCCCACGCTCACTCCGTCATCTCCTGGAGACCGAATTCCGATAACCGGGTTGGATGGCTCTGAGTTCACATCGCAGACAGGAGCATAGTTCATGTTAATACCAAGGGCATCTAGTAATTCACCCGTAGTTCTGCCGATCAGAGTAGCGTCCTCGACGGAGCCCGTTGCTCCCAGCGCCATAGATCCAGGAAGCTGAGTAGCAATGGGCGGCTTAATCTGGCTGACCCAGCCGTTCTCCTGGTCTGCGGCAATGAACAGGGGCCGGGCATGACCCGCATCTCGAGCGGTTTGCTGAAGCTCATTCGTGAGAGTAATCAACTGTTCTGAATCGTGCACATTACGTCGGAACAGAATAATATTTCCGATGTAAAAGGGTGCTTTGATGAGTGCCTTAATATCTTCATTGGCTGTCAGGCTGTCAAAGCCGACGATGAAGAGCTATTTCGGGAGTCAATCTCATTTGCCTATATCATTTAATCTAGAGCATATATTTACCTGACCCAGGCTTCTTCTGATTTCTTCTTCCTCGCTCATGATGCCGGCTCCGTCGGATCCTGTCCTGCTAGCAATGTAGTTAACAGGTTGTTTGTTTTGATGATGATCGAAGCTAAGGAAGGTCGAGCATGTGGAAGATGCGACTTCTACCCCACCGTTTCGGCTACCCAGCTGGTACGGAGAATACCCGTCGCCAGCCCTCTACAGCCAATATGTAGTCGTGAAATCTGAAACCAAATTTAAACGGCTTTTCTATATGTTTTTTACGTTTTCTATACTATGAGTATCTTTCGTTGGAACGGAGATTGATTAACTACTTCGACAACACGACAGCTAATTCTTGGGAAGCTAGGAAAATAGCATGCAGCTAAGCAAATCTAGACTTCTATAATAAGAGAACCAAAGAATTAAGCAAGCTTGCCAGTGGGAATAGAGAAAAGAATAAGCGGTTTCCCATCAGAATGTCCCTGATCAACTCGATAGTACCCCTTACGCTTGAGCTGGATTGTGTCGTTGGCTCGAAGTTCCCCTGCTGCAGCATCAATCCAAGCATGTGAACGAACTTCAGATTTCCAGTTGACATAGGACATGATCTCATCTTCTTTCTCCAACTTGTCCTTGGTAATGAGATGACCAAATTCAACCAGCTCAGCGGGAACAAGACCTTGGTCCTGAGAGAGCCAAGTAATCTTCTTGTCTGTTTTCTTAAAATCCCCTTCCAGATGAATGTCAAGTGCAATATTGGTGATAAGCTGCGTTTTGGGATCTCTGATAATATCCCGGACAATAGCATTTCCCCATCCCATCAAGGTAATCTCTTCACTAGGGAGAAATGACAACGCATCGTCCTGGTCAAGGAAGATCTTGCTGCTGTATACAATATTTCTCAATCCCAGCTCAGGATACTTTGGATGCTTTTGTTTCTGTTTGACAAGGGGGAAACCTCCAATTCCATTAACCTGAGAATAAACCATATCTTTCCTCATAATGGCAGTGTAGCGAGAAGCAATAGGATCGATGAATTTTTTATTGATAGCCCATATCGACGTCCAGTCAAGGTTAATGATATTCCTGCTTGGGCCTTGCTTCAAAATGAACTCACGGAGAGCAGGAATTGTCATTCCCCTCCTTCTGATGCCACGGATGGTTGGCATTCTTGGGTCATCCCAACCCCAGACAACCTGTTTCTCGACCAAGAGCGCCAGCTTTCTCTTCGAGAGAACAGTTTGTACGAAGTTCATTCGAGAGAAATCCCAGATCGTAACTTCACGAAGGCCTAAAGCCTGTTGTATCCAAGAATATTGCGCGTTCCTATCTCGGTATTCATTGGTCCGAAGAGCGTACGTTATACCCTCGATAGAGTCAAGGACAGGTGCACAGAAGTCATATGTAGGATATAACTTCCATTTATTGCCAGTCCTATGATGTGGTTGAGGATTGCAGCGGTATATAACTGGGTCTCGCATTGCTTTATTGAGATCGTCTACTGATATCTTCGCTCGAATACACCAGCCTTGTCCCTCTGGTGAGCCGGACTTCATTTGCAATAGATGGAAAAGACTTTCATCCACGGAAAGGTCCCGGCACTTGCTTGCTATCCCATGTCGTCTCTCATGGCCCATAGTCTCCTTGTCGGTATTGTCAGCATATGCCTTGCCATTGGAGATGAATTTGGTGCAAAGATCAAACATGACATCGAAATAGTCACTGGAATATGTTACTTTATCTGGTGTAATCCCAAGTAACTCAAGATCGTGGAGGATAGAGTCCTGAAACTCGGCATTTTCTTTCGATGGATTCGTGTCATCAAAGCGACATATCATTGTCCCACCTGGCTGTTTATGAGCGAAGAAGTCATTGCGTAAAGCAGCCTTTGCATGTCCAATGTGAAGATATCCAGAAGGTTCCGGTGGGAATCTGGTGACGATATTCTCAGTATTCAGGCCAATTTCGTAACTCGCTCCTGCGGCACTACCAGCTGCTCGTTTCTTTCGGAAGGGAGCTTCCAGGTCAAGTACAATCTGATGTATCCATGGATTCTCATTTTCAATCTGGGAAAACCATCGAAGTATGTTCCCACCACGTTTTTTGATGGTCGAGAATGATACTTTATTTCCACGTATGCTCCCCCATACGACGATATCAGCCAGGGTAAGAGAATACCCGACAATGAATGAACGGAGGGTAAGGTGGCTTTCTAGTTCATTCAGAGGCTTTTTGATGAATTTGAGGTCTAAAGCCGTCAGATCCAGAGATCTTGTAATCCATTCGGATACCTGGGCGCAGTTTAGTACACTTCAGCAATAGACCGTAGCAGTTAGGTACAAACCTGATCCTTATTACCAGATTGCAGAGAAGGGAAATTATTCCTTAGATGATGAATAATGGCATCACCATAGAGAAGTTCTCCATCTTCAGTGATGAGTTTGAGAGGCTCTTTGTTTAGGCCGACGAACCCTACGTCCTCATTATAGGCGATTGAAACTGGAACTCCGCCATCTAGCTGGTTAGCATACCCAGCAGCAAGTAATCCAGGCAGTACAAGGGCATGATTTGCCTTGCAAGCGGCAGCGAGAGACGCCATCTTGAATGTTTGGCCAGTTGTCTCGGGATGTTGTTTGTCTCTGAGCCCACGGCATGGGGATCTCATTTAAATAGCCTGCATGCCTGAGTCATAGCGACAAACGCGAACGATTCTTACAATCCCCAGGCTCGATTCACGTGGCAATCATTTCATTTTTCCCCTGTCAACACTGATGCCATCTTCATCTTCTACTTATCTTTGTCACTCTTTTATGACAGTCTTAATAGTGTGTCGACGTTGTGCCCGGATGAGGCCAATCGCACCGTGAGGACAGATTTTAGCCATGTCAGTAGAATAGCGCTTCTCCACCCTAGAAGCCGCAAGAATCAGTGATTATGCCCCGTAGAGAAGAGTATTAAATGTGAATCCATCTCGTCTTCTGCTCATCTCTGATGTTGTTGTCGTTCGATCAAAGTGCAAGAAGAGAGTTTAACCTTTTTTAACCTTAAGTTTTGTTTCTATTTTAATTTCTTCTCCCCCTCCACCCCGCCACCGCCTATCTACATCTACTTCATCGACATCAACTATCCAGCGATCAACCTATTTATTTTGATATCAATTGCAGCCCAATGTCCAATCCTACCTTCAAGCTCAATACGGGACACGATATACCCGGCCTTGGGTTCGGGACATGGGACCCCAGGTACCCGGAAAAGGCATATGAGGCAACGCTCCATGCACTCCATGCCGGGTACAGACACCTCGACTGTGCTGCTCTCTACATCAACGAAGAGCTTGTTGGCAAAGCGATACATGAATTTCTCGAGTCTCGCCCCGATGTCCAGCGTAAAGACCTGTTCATCACCACCAAGGCATGGAACCATATGCATGAGCCAGAAGACGTCAAGGCCAGTATAAAGGAGTCCCTCCGAAAGCTGAGGCTGGACTATGTCGACCTGTATCTTTTGCACTATCCAGTCGCTACGGTAAAAGATGAAAAGGGAGGGGAAGCTGTAGGCGCTGATGGAAAGGTGTGTATATAAGACTGTCAAGTATGAGTGCATACTTACGATGACCACCTAGTACATTGTCAAGAGGGAACTCACAGAGAACCCGGAACCTACATGGCGTGCAATGGAGAAGGTTGCCCGAGATGGCCTTACACGGGCAATTGGCGTTTCAAACTGGTCTGTCTCCCGACTACGGTCTCTGCTGAAATTTGCATCTATACCACCGGCTACCAACCAGATTGAGATCCACCCTTTCTTCCCAAACACCAAGGTTGTTCAATTCTGCCTCGATCACAGTATCCTCCCTGTGGCATATTCGCCTCTAGGATCCCAGGTTCTTACATGTTGCGAAGCGGAAAAGGCTCGTGGTCAGCAGGCACTTCGGGATATAGCTATCAGAAAAGGCTGTGACATTGGACAACTTCTCATAGCATGGGGTCTGAGGCGGGGGTATTCAGTAATTCCAAAGTCCTTCACAAAGTCACGAATTACGAGTAATTTCCAGCGAGTCGAACTAATGGATGAGGAATTCAAAGCCATTGGGGATGCCCCGGGTGGAAAGTACACTCGCTTTGTTGATCTTAGCGTTGAATATTCTTACGATAACTTTTGGGCTGATGAAGAGGATAGATAGACTTATAGAGTTCCAGCAGTAAGGTTACGACTTGGTTTATTTAGATGAGAGTTAATGACCAAATTCAAGATATATATACTGATATGATGGGGCTATATGACAGGTTAACCCTTACCAACCTCTAGTAGTGTATATTGATGCATAATTTATTTTAACCTGAAAATAGGATATTGATCACCAGTGTTGACTGGAATGATACCGAATGACGCAAAGGAGTCAATGTTCTCGGGCTATTATTCACGAATGATTAATAAAAGCTCATGACCAAAGCAGGTTAAGGGTCCTTACCTCCAAAGCAACAAAGGCAAGAGCAGCGTTCTTCTGGTTTGTCTTGACCAAATACGAGCCTGGTGGAAGCCTGATGCTACGTTCGACCAGCTTTGTCTCCACGGTAGTAGTGACGACGCCTTCGTAGAATTCCTTGTCAAAAGTAACAGAAGTAACGTTCAGAGCCTCGACTGGTCCGACATAGCTGTAGGGTAGCTTGTCAGCCTTGACTCCGAATACTTCCAGGCGCTTGACGATATCTGGCCACGAAGGAGGGATAAGGTATGCCCTTGGGCGGCTGCGAGTCAAGACAGGTTCCGCAGGGGTAGTTCTGGGTTTGTTAATCTAGGAATTATATGAATTCATCCATCTAGAAAGAAAGACTTACGTGGCGAAGTCGATAGGATAGTCAAATAGAGAGGCATCGGTCGTGTTGAGCATGCCAAAAGTCCTTTCAATAATCGGAGATTTGTCAGTGAGCACGATGTCGTTTCTGCTATTAGTGAAGCGCCTAATGCCCCTTTCGATGGTATTGTACACTTCATCGAAGTTGTCGACGGCCGTTTGCAGGACGCTCTTAGCCATGACCAATCCACTGAGAGTTCGGCGTTCGAAATGCTGATCGGCAATACCAATGCCTCTGGTCTCGCAGAGGAAGACAACGCACTGGGACAGCCCCATAGCGTTTCTTCCGATCTTGGCATCAGTACCGGCCTCGCGGAGAAGGAGCTTCGAGCTTGACGATTCTCCCAGAGTGATGTATGGATCCCAGCGGAGACCAGCAGCCTCAATATCCTTGCCCATGCGCTTGGCGAATAGTTTCTCTGACAATTGACGGATGCCTTCATCGATATTTAGATTCTTTGCTGCACTAAATAGAGCATCAGCAGCATAGATAAAGTCCTTTTTCGGACCGAACGCTCGACCTGCAGTGAACTCGTGCATGTCAGTCGCAATGTGTGGGCTGAATTTGGCGAAGAGCTCCTTGATGTCTCTGGTTTGTTGCCTGGCAAGCTTGAGATGGTCACGGTTGGGATCGAAGTTAGTGGCCAGGTAGCGCTGGAAGTAGAAGACACCATCAGGGTTGTAACGAGGTAGCACTAAGATGTCCATCTTCTCCAGGAGTTTGGCAGCCCATTTCTGATTTGCGGCCAAGTCACCGAGGAGCACAAGCATGGACTGGTCGCCAGCAGGTTCGTTACCGTGAACACCTCCCTGCAGCCAAACTCGCAACTTGCGGCTAGAAGGGTTCTCGACGGAAGAGCTGCTCGCTGAGAGATACATATAGGGAAACTTGCGGCCCTCTTCTGATTTAAAACCAGCCTCGTGGTAGGCCATCCAGCTGTTAGACCTTGCCAGGCGGCGCATGAAGCCCTCTGATGCCCATTAGCAGTTGAACTATCGACGAAACAAGCAGCGTCAAAACAATGCTCACCCATGGTCTCGTCTCTGGTAGGCCCAGATGTGCCATCAGAGAAGCCTCTGGACACAGTCCCAGGGGAGGTAAAGGCAGGAGACCGCAGATGTGTCCCATTTATCGCAGGAAACGCCCCTGCGACTACAGCAGGGTCCTTGTGCGTAGAGAGCTGGTTGTAGCCATACTGCAGGGCACTCACACAGTGGGATCCCAGCCCCAGGGATATCAGAGTCAGGAAGCGGTAGGCCACCATCGTGTCAATGGCTCTTCTTCTCTCTTCCTAAGCCGTTCTCCTGCTCGCAAACCTGTGTCCAGCATTCTGCGCCTCATACGGGGGTGAACCCGCGCATTTTATACCAGCCCGTCCAGCCAGCCAGCCAGCCAGCCAGCACCTAACTAGTTACCCGAGGTGCACTTTCTGGTAATTCTGGGCAATTCCTGGCTGCTCTCCCAGACGGCCTGCCCACCATGCAGATCCCATCCCTGGCCTTTGCTCGCATTTCTTCCCCGGAGTTTTCTTCTTTGCTTCTTCTTTGCTTCTTCCTGGGATCCGCAGTTGACATCGAGATGTTTGCTGACTAAGCACGCTGATCCGATTTGTTCCTGCATAGCAAAAGAATCCAATTCGACGGCGACGTCGACGGACAGAAAAGGCGACGGAAAAGGGTGAGGATGAAGAAGATGATAGGCCTCGAGGCGATGAGGTGAGTGATATGCGGGACAGGTACCCGTCTCTAAGTCGAAGTTTGTGCTAACTTGGTGAAAAGTGTGAGAGACTCAGCTGTTTGCCTCCCATGAGCCACGCCATGCTGGATGTCGATGCCATAGTCCAAGGGCGTAGATGGCATATTGTCAAGGATATAACCGACCAGAGCCCATGTCAACGGTGCCGAGATTGACATTGCGGGGAAATTCAACAAGGGCGCGCTGTGGTCGTGGTCGGCTTGCATATTCACCTATCTGGTCGATTTATGATGGATGTCCCGTCTGATGGAGAATGGTAACCTTGAGGTCTAAGCCATGCTACCTCATGAACTTCACCTCGTCTTGATGACGAAGAGCTTTACCGTAGGATCACCTCGGCTATTGGCATCCTTCGACTTTGAACTTGTCTCTGGGGCAGCGTACTCGACGTCAACCACCGCATGCCTCCATCCCAGTGACCTGCCCAGCCGCTAACAGTCCAGTGATTGGTGAGCAAAGGATTTAAACGAAAGGCCTCCACAGCAGAACAGGGCCATCCAAGGATATTCTATGTTTGTGTGGTATGCGTTGTTAACTATGAAATGCAGGCATGGCAGTCCAGGCCCTCCAGACTCAAGCAACTAACTGGGGATGATGTTGACATGGAAAAATTCTTCACTTCTCATGACCTTTTTGTTCTTGCATCGTATCGAGGGTTCAGGGGAGCCATGCTAATCCTCTGCAAATGAACTTTCGTCTGGGAATTTCTATGCTAACTTAGTTATATAGAAGTGGCCTTTGTCGTGACCACGTCAAGACTGCATCAAATATCAAATCGATAATAATAAATAAACCCGCCCCCTCCTCATTTTAGAGCCGGGAGTTAGGGTGCCTTGAAGTTGGCAATTTCATGTCAGTTTCCACCAATGGACACTATTTACGGCCGGAGTTAACCCTTATTCCGGCTGTGCCGTTCCGTCTCTACGCTGCCAAGGGCGACTAGGTGTCGAAATGTGAAATGATAATAACAGTGATATTAATAGAGAAAATATGAAGACGTAAAATTCATTCCATATGTATGTACCTTGGAAAATACTATGTACATTTGAAGTTCAAAGTGGCTTGTCAAAACCTGTCGGAACACCCGCTTCCCCCCTTTCTTACACATTCATCTACTTACACTCGTTTGGAACCTGGGTGCTGCCAGTGCGGTTCTTTGGATCGAACTTAGCACCGACACCGAGACCACGCTTAGCGAATCCCTTCCAGATCTCACACTTGTTGGCACCCTTGGTGAGGTTCATGTCGGCATCGAGGATGGCATCACGGGCCTGGACGAAGTTGGGGTTGCAGGGTTGGCTAAAATTAAGCCGTTAGTTACCTTGAAACAGGACATGGAGCGAACCAGGGGGGAAAACTTTGAAGAGACGGGGGCAATTCTCAAACACTCACATAGCCATGCCGTCCATGACAATCTTCATTGCAAGATACTTGCCGTCGTTTGGAACGCCGTTCTCGAAGATGGGGACTGGGCCATCATTCTTGCCGTGCTTGTCAATGAGGTTCCAGAGGACTTCGTAGAGCATGGTGCACCAGACGGTACCGATGGCGTGGACCTCGTTGAGTTTGTTGTTGGAGGTGTAAACGAGAGGGTTGACGTTCATGTCGGTGGAGTATGGGTACATGCGGACACCCTTGGGGCTGTTGTTCACCCATCCTCCCTTAACGTAGTTGGTCTTGCGGGTATCATTGGGCTTTAGACGGACAGCAGTGGCGTAGAAGTCACCCCATCCTTCTCCCATACCACCGGACTCAAGGGCGTTCAAGCATCGAGAGTTGGCAGGGCCACCGCAGAGACGGTTGGAGACTGTAAGCAGAGTTAGCCTGGGAAAAAAATATCTAGATGCACTCGATATACTTACGACCGTGGGTGTATTCGTGGATGATGGTTCCAGCCTCGAAGGAAGCATCACGAGGTGGGTTGGCGCGGGTCCAGATGTAGGCACGCATACGGCCGGGCTGGCCATCAGGGGGAGTAGCAAAGTTGGCGTTGTTGGTGCCAGAACCGTCCTGGGCGTTCAAGATAACAAAGTCATTGCCCTTACCGCCCTGACCACGGTTGTTGACCTGGAAGTTTCCGGCCTTTTCGTTGAAACCGAGCATGTAGTACAAGTCATGGCAGATATTAGAGGTGTAGAAGAGCTCGGTAACAGAGGCATCAATGTAGGTCTTGGGTGGGTTCATGTCTGGTGAGTAGGGGTACTCGAACTTCAAGTTCTTTGGGCTTGGTCTGTAGTTGTTCTCATAGTCATTGCCTCCGTCTGGGTTGTACTGGGCGATAGCGTTGTTGCCCCTGGTGGCAGTGTAGTTGTTATGTCCATCGGAAAGCCATGTCAAGGGGGAAGTCTTCAAGTTCCATGGGTTGGTGATGATTTCACGCTTGCCCTCAGTTGGGTCAGCAAGGCCCCATTTGCTGGGTAGATGTTAGCTTTTTCCCGATATATATGAAGGCAGAGTGAGAATAAGGATATACACACTAGACCTGGAAGGTAGCGTGAGCAACGTAGTCGACTACGTTGTGAACCTTGGAGGATTCCTTTGCATCCATATAGGAGAGGAGCCAGTTGTCACCAATATCGGTTTCAACTCTCCAGGTCAGAGCCAAAGAGCCATCTTCCTTGGCCATATAGCAAAGCTTAGCGGTGGGGTCAGAGAGAGCACCAGAGGTACCCTTGAACATGACCTTGTGCTCGCTCATGTCCTCAACGTGGGCTCCATCAGCCTTGATTGGAAGATTGAGAGCCTTGCGGACACCGTGAAGTGCCTGCATTGGGTCAATGAAGTCTCGCTTGACCATTGGGTTGGAAGAGGGAGCTGGGCCGGTGTAGAAAGAGTTTCCGTGGGAGAGGACTTTGCCATCTTTGCCAACCTAGTATGAACACAGGGTAAGATTCAGACCATAACGAAGGTATGATTTGCATGATTTTGGAAGATTGGTTAATATCTTACGTTGACGTTGAAGTCAGAGTTGTCAATATCAATGCCGTGCATGGTCTGGCGGAAACGGACATGGCCAATACCAGAGTCACCAACGTAGTGGTCATCGACGAGACGGAACTCCATGTTTGGCATGGTCTGCTTAACCAGCTCAGTGGCAACCTCAAGATAGGTGCCTTGACGGAAAGAAGCAATGCTGGGCAGCTTCTTCATCTCATCGTGGCTGGTGTAGCTGGATCTGTGGGCAATACGGAACTCGTTCAGGTCGACAGCTCCAGCTCGGCCAGCGAGACTGGTGCTCGTCGAGGGCTGGGGGTGTGCGAGCACATGAAGAGGCAGGCTGAGAAGCCCGGCGGCAAGCAAAAGGCCGTGCATGTTGGTCAAAGGAGTATATATATAAAGAGGAGCTGTGAGCTTGAGAATCTGCTCTTCCAGAATTCACACTCCTTGGGTATCATCCCAACCTCTTTCCTGGGAAGGGGATCAGCTGGAGTTTATATATGTTGATCTCCCTTGATCGTCTCCCATGCTTTGATCATCACCACGCCCCAGAAAGTTGCATGGTATCCCGAGGCAGATTGAGGGTTTGAAGGGACCTGAAGTATGCTCCTGAAGGGAAGGCTCCCAATCCCGTTGCATAGCCTGAGTCTGGGGCAGCGCGCCGCATGTTTCCGGCCGACCGCGTCCCATGTCGGCTTCAAGCACCATAGTTCATGCAGATCCTTCCACGGAGAGACGAGGTTTAAGGATCAGGACGAGGATTGTGAGTCCAAGGGGTCGTATTTCGGGACATGAAGCCGGTGATAGCCACGGCAAGGGTCTGTATCATAGTGTGGTTGTTCTCCACTCCAAAATCGTGGGGTTAGCATTCCGCTGCAAATGAATAAATAGTTAACATAATATATAGCTAGAGAGCTGCATTTTGATGGACTTTGTGGAGGATTCAATATGGGGAGAGACGTTGGTGAGCCTGTTCCCCGGACAAGGGGTCGTCCAGCGGGTAAACAACATCTATATATTTCGGCATATATCTTCATGCAACATTCACTGACAACTCACCAGCGTAATTTTACAGGGTTGAGACCAGTGGCTGACACGGTGTGGCTAAGGAATATACTTGATATCATATTCTTGATTTGGTATCTCCATAAGTACAGACCCCCTGATGTGCTTGGATGTGAAAAGGAAAACAAGCCTATTCGGACCTCTATTTACGGAGTACTATAAATATATTGTCAGCTGATTCGGCCTGTCTTCTCAAGAACCGGGGTCACTATGCATCCAGGCAATTGACAGTAGTATGCTCCGGAGTATGTATATTATTCACTCACATGGAGATAGTCAGGAAGAGCTTCTACAAATAGGGTTGAAGAACTTCCTGAGTATGATTCCACACCCTCTCCAGAGCCGAGTCCCGTAGTATTTTCATATTCTTTGCATTCGGGGTGCAATCACACTTGTAGTTGACAAGAAACAGGCCGTTTTCCTCCTTTTCCAGCGAGTTTATGCCTGGCTTTCCATCCCACGGAACTCCACGACCGCCAAAAACTGCGCTGGTACACTGGAACAAGTGTCTCTGCCCGGACTCTTCGTCACTGAAGCTGAATACTCCGAGAAGGGTCTCCAGGAAAAGCCTGATGACCCAACCCATGATTGAGTTGGGATCCCACCCTCTCCTCACATTCCCCGTATTGACCCATCCGGGCCAGGAGTGGATGAAGGTAACGTTGGGGTTGGCTTGAGCGAGCTTCTCCCAGCCCATGCTGTTCATTGTCCCGTACTGCATCTGGGCCTTGATGCTGCCAAAGTTGCCAGGCTTCTTGAGGTCGAGGTCATCCAGGTCGATGCTCGTCTTCTCCAGGCCCCCGGCCATGACGCTGATGACCCGGGGAGCCTCGGCCTTGTCTAGCAGAGGGAGGAGATGGAGAGCAAATAGTATGCGGGAGTAGTACTCCAGGCTCTGGGAGGTTTCTATGCCCTCTGCCGTCTCCTTGCGTCCAGCAAAGGGAGCGTATCCCGCCGTAAGGAATAGTAGATCAACGCGGGTCTCCTGGCTCTTGATAGCATCGCATACTCGCTTGGTCTCTGCTAGTAGAGAGATCTCGCCTTCGGTCCAGACGATCTCAGCCCTGGGGTTGATGGCCTGCAGCTCTTGGATGAAGGTCTTCATCCGCTCCTCAGAGCTCTTGCGGCCGACTAGGTAGATCCGCATGCTGGCCCCGGTGCCCACCAGGGCCTTGACCGTGTATTGTCCGATGCCTGAGGTGCCTCCCGCGAAGACAGCGATTTGCGGTGCCGTCGACTCGCTGATGCGCGCGTTGGACGCCTGAACCTCTTTGTACGAAACCATCGTCAGTGTCTTGATATTAGTTTGTTGCTATCCTGACAATTCCGCCTCTTCCGACAGAGGCCTTCGGCATCAACATCAGTGTTCCAGCATCTTTATGCCCGTCCGTGTCCAAGGCAGCAATCGCTGTACGTCACTAGATAACTCGTTAATTGGTTACTTCGTTACTCAGCCAGCCTGGCTCACCAGCCACAGATCCTCCACCAAACAGAGTTGATGCGAGTTGGCGCCTGCAAGCATCACCCTGACAGAGGGCCAGGAACCCTCGCACTGAGGGAAGAGGAAGCAAAAGAGTGAAGGCAGAAGCGAGACGCTGGGCTGTCGATCTCATGCGTCCCCTCGACTCGAGCTGAGATGTTGTTGGTTGGTGTCCGTTGGCTGCTGGAGCCGCAAGGATGGCCAACAGGCCAAGCGCGGCCCTTGAAGCTGAAACGCCCTCGAACACGCCCGAGAAGACGAACTGAAGACAGGAAACACTTGGCTGAGACCGCTGTGGGTGGTAGGCTCATCTCGAGAGTCTGAGATGGCTCCGCGTGTTGGTACCGAGACAGTGTCATGCCAGGCCTGCATACCAGACACACGAATGCCTGCAAGTTGATATCTCGACTTTATATCACTGGACAATTATACCGAAAGCAAGTCTTATTCTAATTAAAGACGTGCCGATCGAAACAAGCCCGGGAGCCTCTTTCACAGGCCGAGAAGAGCTGCCATCCCGAGAAGATGGGATATACTTATCGAGGACAGGGTTGGTGATCAGCCCGTCATCTCCCTGGCTTCATCTCAGCCGACACAAGGCTATAAATGAGCAGTCTTATCGGCTTCACGTTAGCTACGGAGTACCTATGCTATTATTATGGGAGACATCTCTGTATTATCAGTATTTCAAGCCGTGAAGGCCAGGATATGGCGGCACGGCCGATAATCCTTCTTCAAGACCTCCGAGGGGTAATCCATACCAGCGCCAACTGCAACACTTTTGGACTCCCTTCAACGAGCAGAATAATTAGGCAGAGTTGTCCAAGGACAACGCCACGATTTCATTGTTGTCTATCCATCCATGTCCACGATTGAGACGAAAATCCGAGAAAGGACAGAAACCTGGGAATAACCGCGGTCGTGACGTCAATACTTGAATGCTTCCCATATTGTGTCCTAATATAGACTGAAAAAGACAGACTGAAGTCTGAGGAAAAGAAATATGCCCGGATCGAGATGTCCAACAGACGAAATAACATGACAAACTGATTCCTTGATATCGTACGAGGCCATCGTGCAAACAACAGCAGAGGCTCGGGGAAGTGTCCTGACTAGGCCATCTCCCGTCCTGCATGATTTAGTTTCTCTTCCAGTCCCAGGCAGACAGCTCTTGAATGCATATGCATCCTCAATCTTTCAACTTTATCTCTCGATGGACAATGTATTGCCACTACTATTGACAGGGAGTGTGTCTTAGCTCTCTTGACAGATGCGGAGATGCTCGTTAGATATGCCTTGGCTGGGAGTCAAATCTTTCGTCCCATGGGGTAACCGAGATACTCCTATTCCATGATTGCTCATAGCATATCAGTAGAGACGGCAGCATCTCTGTTCATATAGTAACAAAGAGATTCTACATGTTGACCCAGGACTCTGTATATGAACTCTTAAAAGCTTTTGGTAACTAACGAGATAAACCGTACTAAGCAATGGTCTTTGCTTGCACGGAGTACTTTATCCAGGACACTGGCGTGCTTCTTAGCATTGCTTGTTTTTACTATGACTATAACTTGGCTTAGGCACCATATTACAGCTCCATATACACAAGCCGAAGACAGCGGAAGCTTGATGGTTATTTAGAGAAAAGCCCAGGCAAACAATTGCTGTAAGACAACATTCAGTCGCATCAAGCTAGCCAGCCATTGGACAGAATGAACCTCCAGAAAACAACCAACATGGACCTTATCAAATACTTCCAGTTTGAATGCAGTTACTTACCCATCAACCACAGTTTATCATGGATATTTTTCGTCGGAGAACTACCTTGGTCATCCATGATCTGCTGGTTGCGACCCGGCTCGGACAAAAACAGCTCTTTTCGACCCTTCCTTGTCGTACAAATTTTCACTCACGTCCTCAAACAGCTGTTGGCAATAAAGAATATCTCAACCAGGACTTTCTGTTTGAATATACCGCTGGGCGTTGGCTTTGGGGTGAAGAAGAACAGTTAGCAGCTCACTATGTGAAATTCGATGTTACAGCTCTTTGCCAGGTGGCAGCGGACGCCGTTGGTTCCCGCTCATGTACAAATATCACGAAGTTGCCAGAGGGGAACTTCAATAAGGCACTCCTACTTACCATGGATGATGGAAAAGAAGTAATTGCAAAGATACCAAATCCCAATGCTGGGCATCCGCACTTCGTGACGTCCAGTGAGGTGGCAACAATGGAATTTGTGAGTACCCATCCGATTTAACACTCGTCCCTTAATCCAGAGTCAAGACTAATTTGTTATGTCTACTGTAGGTCAGAAATAGATTACATATACCCGCACCAAAAGTATACTTGTGGTGTTCAGATGCTAGCAAAAGCAAAGTGGGTGCGGAATATATTATTATGGAGAAAGCTGGAGGAATTCCACTTTCGAAAATCTGGGATGATATAGATGTCATGCGGAAGTCGAAAATTGTGGAAAATATTGTGTTGTTTGAAAAGTCTCTTGCGTTGAACCCGTTTCCTGCGTACGGCAGCTTGTACTATGCCGATGGCGATACTACAGAAGGCTTTACAGAAAGTGGCTTCACTGTTGGCCCTACCAATAACCGAAAATACTTTGATGACGGAAGACGCTCATTAAACCTAGATCGTGGGCCGTGTAAGTTCTTGAACATGCTGGATATATCGCATTTTCTCTTTGCTAACTCTAGGCAAGGTTCTCGATAGAAGATTACATTGCTGCCAATGTAAAGAGGGAACGTGTATCAATCACTTCCCTAGGCGCCTCCCCAAGGCTCCAGGGGATTTTCAATGGCCCTGGTTTCTATCATCCATCAAAAACTGCAAAGCTCCGTGCATTGGATCTATATTTGTCTATATCAAAATACATTCTTCCCAAAAACAAAGAGACCCATAAAGGTGTCCTATGGCATCCCGATCTCCACACAGACAATATCTTCGTTGACCCGCAAGATCCAACCAAGATAACATGCTTGATTGACTGGCAAGCAGCTCATATTGCGCCCCTCTTCCTACAGGCTCGTCGGCCAGCATTCCTAGATTTCGATGGCCCTATCCCAGAAAGGCTTAAGTTCCCTTCCTTGCCAGAAAACTTCGACAATCTGCAACCTGAAGAGAAACTTAATACGAAGAAGCTCAGGGATGAGCAAGCATTATATGTCCTCTATGAAATTGAGTTGCTGCGGCAATGCCGAGCCGCAGGGTCAGCATTACATGGTCGTGATACGTTGGTGAGTCGGCTGACAGGTCTTGCTGGATCACTTTTTACCGATGGAGAGCCTGTAGTACTTGGCTACCTGATGCAAGCCGTTGACAGATGGGGCGAAATAGCGGGACGGGATGCCACTGGAGATCCAGTTATCCCCTGTTCTATTACTTTCACAGATGCGGAGAGGACTAAGCAACAGATAGATCAAGAGAAATGGAAAAAAGGTGTCGAATTGATGGATGAAGTCGTTCAATCTTTGGGCGCATATAGTGGCTGGGATGGATTTGTGAGCCATGACGACTACCAGGCTAGGAAGCAGCAATTTATTGCCTCGCAAGACGCTTTCTTGCAGCGTATGGCTGGATCAGACGAAGGCTCCGCGATGCAAGCAATATCCCCCTTGAGGAGATGATATCTATTGGCGATGCGATATTCCCAGGGGGTAATGATTGTCCAGCTAAGGAGATTGGTCTAAAGACTGTCTGTGTTCGGGACCCGGATGGAACGCTGGCTGCGATTACTGCGATCATTGCATGTCTGTCGTAAGATACTACATGAAGTAAATATCACAGGGAAAAATCAAGATTAAGAGGGAACACCCTCGAATACTTCAGCTGGAATAGATACCTGATAAAGATTAATCAAGCATCACTGCGGACTTCATCAACGCTTCCTTTACGGAGTAATTAGCTAGTGAATAGGTAGTTAACTCTCTATTTTCCTCTGGTGCGTCGCTTCCTGCATCAATTGACCGCAAAACTACCTGCTAGGTAGTTAGAGAATTATGTAGCTATTATAATAATTATATAGATCCATGCAGCGTTTCTTCCGTATAACCTTAAATAGGTACTTCAACATTTACTTCACAAACCCATTGACATTTTGCTTCCTAGTTTTTATAGAATAATATCCCCGGAAGGATATTGAAGTCTCTCTAGGCCAAGCTAGTCAATGAGAATCTCTTCATATAAAAGACTTTAGAGGACCGTTGGTGCTTTAATTTTTCTCTAAATTAAGTGCGCCATCTTCATAGTATCAATATATAAATCAATTGCCCGTGCCCCATCGAGGCACAACATCTTGCTTCATTACTATTATGAATACTTCGTATAGCTATAGCAGTACTTTAGGAATTAATCTCTTATAGTATTGAAAGGTATCCTCCATTGTAGTGTCTAATGCGGCTAATGGTGTGATGGGGCGCAGACAAGGGGGCCCAAGATGCCCTGATAATGAGATCAATACTCTCCACCATATGCCTGATGGTGATATATCACACACAGTCTATTTTGCATTGGTTGTAGGTGCAATAGAGCGATTTTCCTTCTATGCTGTTGCTATACCATTGCGTACGTTTTTCTTTTCTTCTTACAAACCTACAGAAAAAGTATATAAATACATCCTGATAAGAGATGCACAGATTCACGAGAATACAGCTGCAGTGTCGGGTGAATTCGGGTGACATCAGGTACATTCAAGTACATTCAGGGGGTGAGTTGAAAAAAAAAAAAAGGCCAAAAAAATATACATACAAAAGTCGGGATTCGCTGGTGGTCACCCACCCAACTACTAACCGACCGGCAAGTGGCTTAAGTACAGCTGAGCGGACGGGAAGCTCTGTTTTCCACTTCCTGTGGTCGTATGTACTTGACGCATAGACGAGAGGATTGATATGGGGTTGGGGGAATATGGATATCAACGACGGCCACCCGAAGGTCCGATGGGAGTAACGAATATCGATTAGTTGTGGCTGGGTTATACCCAAGGCTGGGATACGACGAGTGAGATCCTTTAAAATAAACAAGGACAGGGATCTCCTCTAGTCGCATTAATAATTGAAGAGAGTGATACCCCGCGTATCGAAACTGCTTGGATAGGCGTTCGTCGACTCCAGGCAGCAGCTTCATACTCTTCGATTGAAACTATCACACAGCTTGATATACACAGAGAAAATGGCAGGCCCTACACGACGCGGCACCTGCATGTGCCAGGGTATCGTCTACGAGGTGAACGATAAACCTGAGCAGACGGTCGCTTGCTACTGTAAGCACTGCAAGCTGAATGGGGGAAGTGCCTTTCAGATCGTGAGTCTTTAGAAGAGAGTGATTGGTATATGTTGGCATGCTTTTCCAAGTACACTTACACACCGTCAACAGACAGCTTGCTACAATAAGGAGCAAGTGAAAGTACTCTCCGGGGAAGACCTCATTGGCACCTGGACGCTCAAAGATACGATTAGCGGCAACGATAAGCACAAGCGTTTCTGTACTCGTTGCGGATGCACTCTTTGGACTGTCCCGATGATATTCAATGGGGAGAAATTCATGGTCAGAACATCGTTATTAGAGAACGGGTAGGTGTATAGATATTCCCCTAGAGGTTATCCGATTCCTAACAGGTTCTTAAGGCTTGAGGACCTTAAGCCCGAATCAGAACTCTTTGCCACTGAAAAGCCTTCATACCTTGAGTCCATTAAAGCACTCTAGGTTCCAAGTTGCTTTTATCCAGAAGGTGCTTTATTACAGCATGGCTTTTCAGATAATGAACGTTTCATTGTGATGGACTTTGCCAATCACCGGAGCGGAGGGGTATAACTGTCTTCTTTTGCGACACATAACTTAAAGTTATCCTGTTTTGGATTGAAAAAGAGGCCCCAACTGAAGGAATCGACTACTGGGCCCTTCAGCAGTCCCTGTTTGCCACAATAGGATCTTTAGCATATAGCTATTTAGGTAATTGATGCCTATGATACGTGTTAGCAGAGCCGTTCTGAAGAATTCCCCCCCGTGGTCAATATGACCAGTTAACTAACTAGTTTAAAGAGACTGCTTCCAACTGATATACTCCTGGTTTTATCAAATTATCGAACAAGGGGATAGTGCTGTTTCTGTCGATAATAATACTCTGGCTAAGGTCTCTGTTGTGTGCGGTTGAAGGAGAAACGAGACGTTCAGTCGCCAGACGCGCGTGTGACGTCACTGTGAGGACCTCCGTAGTTAAACAACATCTCGAGATGCTGTCCACAACGCCGCATTTACGCACACTGTTACGCACGTCTATACTCACAGCTCGATACAGCTCCATCATGCCTGCGAAGAAGCGCAAAGAGTCCGAGGCGTTCTCCTCCGAAGGATCACGACAACACGGCGCGTCATCTCAACTCACATCGCGTTCACTGCCTGACCTAAGACAACCACATCCCAACGCACAGCAGACCGAAGACTTTGGTATAGTCTTACGCGACTTTTATCCTCCGGAAATAAGCAATGCGCGCTGCCATGCCTATAATGAAGGAGTATTGGAGCGTCCTATTGAAGCACTGCAGCGGGCATATAAAGAGACAGCAGAGCAATGCCAGGATATCCAACCAGGCAAAGCCGTTGTGCATTGGTTTAAACAAGACCTCCGCCTTCAAGATAATCGCTCGCTACACAGAGCCTACAGTTTCGCTCGCTATCACAATATACCTCTTATCTGTTTATATATTTTTTCGCCAGAAGATTTGACTGCCCATTTATGCAGTCCCCCTCGAGTTGACCTTATCTTGCGGACACTGGTCACTCTGAAATCGGAATTGTCTAGGAAGGATATTCCATTATACATGGAATCAATCGAAAGAAGAAAGGGAATTCCCAGCCGTATAGTTGAGCTGTGTAAGACTTGGGGCGCAAACCATCTTTTTGCTAATATAGAGTACGAAGTGGATGAGCTCCGGCGTGAAGCAAAGCTCACTCGTCTCTGTGCTACGCAAGGCATTAGATTTGACACCGAGGACGATACCTGTGTCGTGGCTCCTGGAGAATTGACTACACAGCAAGGCAAACAATATGCTGTATATAGCCCCTGGTATCGGTCTTGGGTGGCTTACCTCAAGCAGCATCCGGAAAACTTAGAGCTTGTTGACGCACCAGCTGTAAATGCAGGTAATGCACGGAAACATTTTAAGAACTTATTTGACAGTGCTGTTCCGATAGCTCCAAATCAAATGAAGTTATCCGAAGCAGAACAAGAACGATTTAAGAAAATGTATCCTGAAGGCGAGCAAGAAGCAGCACGAAGGCTCCGAGAATTCTTATCGAAAAAGGGAAAACAGTATCACGCCAAACGGGACTTTATGTCTAGCCAGTTTACCTCTGTTCTGAGCCCCTATTTTAGTTGTGGAGCTTTGAGTGCTCGAACTGCAGTTCGTATGGCCAGAGATGCTAATGGTAACGAGCTGGCCGGGAAAAGTCCAGGTTACTCTACGTGGATTAGCGAAGTGGCCTGGCGAGACTTTTACAAACACGTGTTAACTCATTGGCCCTATATATGGTAAGTAACCTTTCATCGAAACTACGAAACTATGTGGCCTCGTAATAACAGATGTTTCCTCTAGTATGAATAAATGCTTCAAGCCGGAATTTACAGATTTAGAATGGGAATACGACTCAACCCAGTTCGATGCATGGTGTGAGGGGAAAACAGGATTCCCCATCGTTGATGCCGCGATGCGACAACTCAAGCACTGTGCTTGGATGCACAACCGCACGCGCATGATAGTTTCCTCGTTCCTCTCCAAGGACTTACTTATTGACTGGCGATGCGGAGAGCAGTTCTTCATGCTCCATCTGATTGATGGGGATTTTGCATCAAATCACGGTGGCTGGGGGTTTGGATCAAGTACAGGAGTAGATCCTCAGCCGTATTTCCGCATATTCAACCCCTTGCGTCAAAGTGAAAGGTTCGATCCAGACGGTGACTATATCCGGTATTGGGTACCTGAGCTGCGAGACGTCGAGGGTTCCGCTATTCATGATCCTTACGGACGAGGTGCTGGGGGAATTGCAGAGAAGAACGGATACCCGAAACCGATTGTGAACCATACGGAGAGCAGGGAAAGGGCGCTGGAGAAATACAAGAAAGCCGCTCATGGTTCTTAGAGGATTCACATGATATAAATAAACTTTCAACTTACTCCGGTCCGACCCGAAAGTCTCCGCATTTAAGGTTTAAGTCTTGGCACAGCCTCAGCATTATGCTTTAATTTATGAAGATCATCATGGCTTAGTCGAGCTGATACATCCAGCACAAAACAGCGTCATGTTTACTCAGAACGGCGGTAAATGAGTGACTTATGGAGGCAAGGGTTTTATAACGCGGCCCGGGTTAACGTTATCCAAAAAATTTTGCCATTTTTATACTCAGCATTTGCGTCACTCATCAAAGTAATGCATCTGGACACGGGATATTATTCCCCACAAGGGCTGCACTTCGGCGAATAATAAGCTACGTTGATCAGGACAGTACCTGCACCAGCATTATACACAGCTTACTTCATTTTAGTTGAAATATTACTTATTTTATTAAGCGCGAAAGGATTTGTTCCCCATTGCGACCTTCACTAACTACTCATGTACTCCGTCAAAAATACTACGAATCAATGACTGGTCATGGACTTATTGCCTCGTTTCGGAGTATGCGCCAAAATTTTTGGTTCTTCCATATTGGCTACCATTGAATTGTTATACAGAGTCACCTGGGGCCTCTAACAATACGAATTAAAGCCTAGCCGGAGTTCGAACACACGCAAGAAGAGGAGTCTCAATTAAGATTTAATCTATTATGCGTGGCCGATATCTGCTACCTCATTCGGTTGCAGTTAAATTTTGAAAGCAATGTCTTGCTTACTACAGCACTGATGCCGGTCATTAATTGACATGCTTATGTCAAATCTGAGGAGATAGATCATGAGAGCTGTCCAATGGATTCGCTCTATAAAGAGAAGGTCCTCGAGGCACTTTGGACCAAGAATATCAGACTCGCAAACAATCCCATTGTTGTTATCTAGTACCAGCTATCTGGATTGCCACCATGCGTTTCACTCCCTCAAACTTACTGTCTTTACTGGCAGTGGGAGCCATCCTCCAGCCTGTCGTTGTTCCTAGGGCAATTACTACTGGACTTATCAATGGAAGAGATGAATCCGGCTTGACCAAGTGTGATGGTATGTACTTCCTAGCTCTTACCATTACACTTCTAATCCTCTAGCTAATTATAGTTACTCTCGGTTGTGTGGATAAGACCATCCAGGTCCCCGATTTAGAAGATCATGCGGTTATCCCAGCCCTTCAAAAGAGAAAGGGAAGAAGGCCTGGGAGTAATAATAAGCCCAACAGGAATGGTCATGGAAAACCTAGCAAGCCAGCTACCAGTCCTACCACAAGCCCAAAACCAAGCCCAACAACAAAACCATCTTCTGTATCGACTACCCAGCCAGCAAAGACTTCCCCGACAACCTCAAAAGAGGAACCAACTACTAGCTCCAAGGTACACTCATCGACCAGCTCAAAAGTTGTCTCTAATACCCGAACAACCTCATCTGTAACCTCTTCTCGATTAACTTCACCATCAACGTCCAGGGTAGCGTCAACTACCAAGCCAGTCACAAGCTCAACAACAACTTTGGGCTCGCAGACATCTGCGCACCCGATTTCTAGTGCCAATTCCTCAACCAAATCAGGGGAAAACTCTGCTCTAAATTCGGAGGAACAATCAGCCACCCCCTCGAAGACGCCGTTTATAACAAACTCAACTTCCACGACAAAGCCTACCTCTGAGGCCGAGTTAACCACAACCTCCGAAGAAGCACACACCACAGCAAAGTCGGGCAATACCGTTGCTCCCACATCGTCTGAGAAAGGGTCGGCCACCTGGTCTGAATCTGCTACGACCGATTTGTCTTATACCCCTGTACCCACGCAGTCAGACGTATCTAGCAGCTCAGATGAATACTCAGCCACAGAATCAGTTTCAACGCCCGTATCTTCATCTGCATCTGCACCCACCACCACGCTAGACAAATATACGGTTAAAAAAGAGTCCTCGACACCCATACCTACAGAAACACAATCACGTACCAGTTCGGAGGCAGACCCAACCACAGCTTCGGCCCAAGAGCCAACAAACAACTGAGCCGAGCCTAAGTCATGGCAGGAATAATAACAAGAACACTAGCATACTGAGTTGGGAAGAGTATATGGAAGACGATGCAAAGGTAATCAAACGCTTAGAGGACTCGATTCAAATCAAGAAAACAGATGTACGTGCAATTGACATCGAACGTCGTTACGAAGTGAAACATGGAGAGGCAGTGATAGGTGGCGTGGTTGAGAACAAACCAAATGTTAAGTGGGACTTTTGGAAATTGACGAGACTAGGCGAGAATGCACGATATGCTCGTACTATTGTGAAGTTGCAAAACCTTGAGAAGCAAGGAAAAGCCAAGGAAGA